TATGTGGTGCATTACATACATGCAGGCAAAACGCTCATAACAGAAAATAAAAATAAATTTTAGGAAAGAAAACAATTAAATTGATACTAAGCCTTGCCTAGAATTAAGTAAGATTCATGAATATTCTATAAGGCTCATTAATAAATTAATTTCAACTAAAATCTGTTTTTTTATGTTTACTGGTCATCAAAATTTATAACATACTTATTTTATGATATCAATTATGTACAAATCAAAATTGTTAATATAATTCAATCCTGAAGAAATTTCTTCACACATGGATTCTTAACAAAATTTCCAAGAAAATATTTAAGAGCTCAATAGTCATAAATATTTATTGGTATAAAATTATGCGTGACAAGTTGAATGTTCACAAGTTCAGGAAAAGGAGGGAATCATACAAAAATGTGGACCAGTTACTGAGTGTGGTGGTGAATGCTTGTAATCCCAGCACTTGGAAAGTAGAGGCAGGGGGATCAGGAGTTCAAGGCTAGATTTGGCTATGTAGTGAGTTTGAGACCAGCCTGGGCTACATGAAAGCATGTCTCAAAAACAACATATTTGGAGTCAGGTGTGGTGGCACAGGCCTTTATTCCCAGCACCTAGGAGGCAGAGGCAGGTGTATCTCTGAGTTCGAGGCCAGCCTGATCTACACAGTGAGTTCCAGGCCAGCTGGGGCTACAGGGAGACCCTGTCTCAAAAAGAAAAAAAAAAAGACCATGACGAAGAAGAAAAAATTTGGTGGGGGGAGGTAGTGTCTCACTACGTACCTGTGGCTGGCCTAGAACTCACTATAGAGAAAAGGCTGGTCTGGAATTCACAGAGATCTACCTGCCTTTGCCTCCCAGGTATTGAGATTAAAAACCTTCACCACCTAGCTAAAGAAAGCCTTATTTGTGTATTTAAAAAACGGATAGTGGTGAATGTCAAACTGATAGCATCTAGTTCTCACTTTAAAACAGAATGTAATCATATTTTTAAATGTCAGTGTTTACATTTCAAGGAAAATATGTCTTTTACAAGTTAAAATTAAATTTTAAATGTTTATATGTTAACATTGCTCTGTGAAAGATGCACAGCTTTTAACAACTACTATAAAGGAAGTCAAGTAAAAACAAGCAAAGAGGCAAAATACACAGCAAAGACCACAGTTTGTAGCTGGAGACAGAAGTTGTTAAAGAATTTGTTTAAAGCCAATAGACCTGGAACTGGAGCGATGGCTCAGTGGTTATGAGCACTGACTGCTCTTGCAGAGGACTGGAGTTCTATTCCAGCACTTATATGGCAGCTAACAGCCAATCATCAATACTAGAGATCTGACACCCTCTTCTGACCTTCTTGGGCATTGCATGACACAGGTGTACTTACACACATGTAGGCAATACACTCATACATAAAATAAAAGTAATAAAATATTTTTAAAAATCAAGTCCATAGACCAAGGGAATGACAATTTCAGTTTGAACTAGGTATGTAGGGTCCCAGCCATGGTGTACCTGTTTTGGGTAGCCCCTCACTTGTGAAAGAAATCTGGGATCAACCTGCCTAGATGACTGGAAGATTGTTCAGGATGCAAAATTGTACGTTCCAACCCCAACACACTGATCCAGGGTCTGGGACCCACTGATCCAGGGTCTGCATTTGAACAAGCACTAGGTGACTTGTACATACAAGGGCTGGGGAGATCTTCCCCAGAGCATGTTCTAGACCATTCTCTGCTCTGGCCCAGCCCTCCCTTAAGGGCTTCTTAGCAGCCCTCAGATCCCCATGGCTCCTGTATTGACAAAGGTGTCTGGTGTTCTCTTGTGGCTCTTCCAGGCTCTTTGGTCTTGACATTAAAGGCAGAGATTGTGGCGATGAGGTAGCTCAGTGGTTCACCAACTACCTGAAAACGCAGCCCTACAGGTTGGTTCAGTTTGACACGAACATGAAGGGAAGGACAACCAAGAAACTTTACCCTTCTGAAGGTTACCTTCAGAATTACGAGGTGAGTGCACAGTCTTCCTTCACTTCCGCCAATCAACCTGAGCCCTCTGCCTCTGGTTTCTTTCTCTGCCCACAGGAGCCCCATGGGAGACCCCAGTTAGAAAAACTTGGCAGTGCCCCAGGTGGGTGGTCCAGGGTACAACCTGGACACTGAAAGCTGCAGAGGCAGTGGGAGGAGGAATGTCTCAGTGATAGGACCTCCATGGAGCAAGAGGACAGGATGTGTGGAGGGAGATGGAGACTCAGGAGGATGCTGGCTGGGAGCTAAATGTGCTTACACCTGTAATCCCAGTACTCAGGAGGCTAAGGCAGGAGGATTGCTGTGAGTTCAAGGCCAGCCTGGGCTAAAGGTGAGACCCTGTCTTGAAAAGGAAAGGCAGAATGAAAGAAAGGAAGCCTAGCCACCCAGCAAAAGTGAGATGCTGAGACCAAATATGTTTCTTGACGCAGGATTTCTCTGTGTCCCCTTTACTACGTATGTGTGACAGTTATTCCAGGGGCCCAGAAGGCAGCGTCCTCCCGGGGAGAACCCTGTGTCACTCACAGCTCAAAGATTCTGTAGTGATTCAAGGTTTAAAATGAGAATTCCTTAGGGATTCCTCCCTGGAGCCCCCAAACTTCAAGCTCTTGGAGGCCAGGTTATTTTGTAAATTTGTA